AAAAAACCTTCATAAAATTGAATTCGATTGGGATCAATACGAGCAGTTAGCGGTGAAGCATGAGTACCTGGAGCGGAGGAACGAATTGGTCGGAAGAATTTAGAATCCGGCCGACGATCAAAATGGTTTCTCGAAGAGCGTCGGAGTAAACGATAAGCTGCCGTGTATGTTGCTTTAGCTGATCCCATCTCATCCTCAAGCTTCCATCAATTAATCATTCCTTCTTTTCCCACCAATATAATTAATTTTAAAATTAAGGTGTTTTCATTAGAGATGACTACGTATCAGTTATCCCCTCTCCTATATATTAATTCAAAACGTGAATTCTCACGCTTTGCATGTTCACATGTCGAAAATCTATGCTTGATGTTGTTTTTATATTATTTTTGCTCTAGAGTTAGATTTGATATTAGACATAAATAATTTACATATATATTCATTAACTCGACACTCATGTTGTACATTGGTATTAGTACTAATTTCTGTTTAAGTCTGACACCCATGTTGTACATGTTTATAGTACTAATTTCTGTTTAAGTCTAAAAATTAATAAGGTTATCATTTATTTTTCACATCTTTTAATCAACAGCGGTTAAGTGTATACAACACAATAGAGTTGTAATCTATTTTTCACCTCATCTAACCTGCATTGTTTTGTAGCCAGAACATAAATATGATCATGTTAGGGCTAGCTTATAAAATAATTAATATATTATTATCTCACTAACACATTTATACTAATATAAATTTGATTTTAGTATATATATTTATTTCTTGATATAAAATAAAATAATAGTTTTACTTATACTAGTAATTACTTTTTAGAAGACAATTTTGTATATAAATTACGGTAATAATGCAATGATCATAAGATTAGACATATAAACATATAATTAAACTGAAAAAATCATATATTATTGAACACTTCTCTATATACAACGTTATTGGTTTGATTCTTTGGCAGATCATCTTACCCACAAATAAACATTTTCAAACCTTTTCGATTAGTGACACGGGAGACAACAATATATAACTGGTCATGACTGAACACTGTTTTCTTAAGAAATAAACCAACATGAGATAATGATTGTCCATGTCTCTTGTTCATAGTCAGCAACATATAACTGGTCAAGATTGAACACTGGTTTCTTAACAAATAAGCCAACATGAGATAAGGATTGTCCTTGTCTCTTTTTTATAGTCGTGACGTAAGAAACCATATGGAGAACTGTCATATTTGTTTACATGTGTATTTGACATGTGTTATTAGTTGTTTGGATGACCACAAAGTGTTGTTTTGTTGTTGACTCTATCAATCCCAAACTCTTACCATTTTGATGATAAAAAACGTTTTAAATTATGTTATGTTTTAAAATTTTAAATAATTGTTTTATTTTTTTTATTTTTTATAATGCTAGAGTTATGTACCCCAACTGCTCTTTTTATTATGTATAGATTATTTACTTGAATGTTATTTCTTATAATTACTTGAGTAATGTGAGGTGTTGATATTATTTATTCCATTATTACGTTTCATAATAACTCTTCCATGAAAAAAATTACAACATAAAGAAATATTGTTATTTTTTATGTATGGGCTTTAATATTTACAATTAATTTCTAAATTATTTATTTTTTACACTGTATTTGTTGTTCGGAAATTTTAATTATTACAAAATCATACAGTTAGTTCTGCGTGGTTATATTATTAACTTAAACATTAGAAGACAAAAAAATGTATTAAATTAATTCCTTTGTTCAATTGTATAGGTTTGATTTTGTTTTATATAAAAAAAAAAATAAAGTGATAAATGTTTGTTATAATTTACTTAACTTTTAACATCTTTATTAATAAAAAAAGTTAAAAAAAAAGAAAAAAAAATGAATTTCCAATGTTTTTATTTATAATTTCATTTATTTCGATTACCAGTGTTATGTATTAAACATTAATATAATTAGATACATAAAAAATGTGGTACAACATTAGCCATAAAAATCAGTATCATTAATAACCAATAGTATCCAAATATAAAATCAAACAAACTGAACTCCAATATTAAAACCTAAATTATTCATGTTGTTGAAGCCAATTTATTCAAGAAAGTATTCAAAGCAAATAAAATCCTAATATTATAATAAAATACTTTAGTAAACCAATAATATCTTATCAAATCAATTGTTTATAAAAATTGTCCTTCATTTCATCATTTGCTCGTCCGCTTTTGCGTTGCATTAGAAGTGTTGTCGACCTTCTCTTTACATTTGAGAGATTTAAAGGTATTGAAACTTCATCTTCTCCAGTGCAGCCCTATGAAACAATTTGCAAAATAAAAATTTTAGTATTTAAATTGTATGATTATTTGTATGAAATAAATTTAAATTTCAAAGAAAAATAATAAGTGTGAAAAATGAACATTGACCTTGCCGTTGTTAGCCTCTTCACGTTGTAGTAAAGTCAAGAAGTTAGGCTCCTGTTAAATTTTATAGAAAAAGTTATAAGTTCTTGAATTTAATCATTGTTTATAAATCAACATGATTATGTTTTTGTTTATTAAACTTACTTCTTTCTCGGTAACCCACTAACTGTACATAGATACCAGATTTTAATCACCTGTCATCCTAACAATAGAAAATGTTGTTACTTCTTCTTTGAAATTCGACATCTCTGTAAAAAAAGATAATATTAAGAATTAGGGTAAAATATGAGAAAGATTAGTTATTAATTTTGATTGTGATTCATACCTCAATGTCATGCAAGACAATTTCAAGGATGTCTTGTAGGAAGAGTATTCATTAGTTCTTGAAAAATTTGAACCACTCTTAACTTCAGCATAGGTCGTTGGTCCTTGTTATTTGTTTGATGTTGTCCCATGCTTTTGCCATTTTTCTATTGGTATGTGAAATGGGAGTGTATAAGATGTGTTGTGTTAGGTTATCTACGTTGGGAAGTTCATTAATAGGCATGAAATAATAATAAAAATAATAATAATAATAATAATAATAATAATAATAATAATAATAATAATAATAATAATAATAATAATAATAATAATAATAATAATAATAAGTGATAAGATTAATTTAAAATATGAATTTTTAAAACTTCAAACTGTGAGTTGATGATAAGATAAGTTCAAATTATTTGGATAGTATATTAATTGGTTAAGTAGTTAAGATTTTTTTTTTTTTTTCGTCTACAAAGATGACCACGAAATCTACATGTGTGTAATTATTTTTATTATGTTTTTTGAACATCATTTGACTAACTTGTTGACAAGCGTTTCGGTCAACGGTTAAGATTGAAAATATTGAAAGTACAGGACTGGATATAAAGGGAAGATATAGTTTAATTACGATTTTATTAAATGATCACGAGGTCGGCCTCTCGTACGAGGTCGGCACTTATGATATACTTACAATTCTTTCAAGGGACTTCTTACAATTTTTAGAGAGAGAAAGTAGAAAGCTTAAGTTAGTTGAGGATTCAACAACCCCAAAATAAATGTGGTGAGCCGCTATTTATAGTACTCTTTAATGGGGTACTGTTCATCGGTCTTGTCGTACAGTAGGCTTGCAGAGCAGTTCGGCGCCTCCCTGACAGTTCATTAATGCGATTTGAGGTTTTTCCAATCATTGCTTGCTAGGCATTTAATGCAAGCATGGGTAGCATTTAATGCTGATTGAACGACTGTGACAGGCCGTCCCATCAACGAATGATGACCTCCAAAGTGGCGAATATTTTAATAGCGGCTGGATCGGCGTCATCCTTTGGCAGAGCGGCTCTAACTTATTCAGATCGGCACCTTCGCTCTGAAGGTCCGCGCGGCCCGGATGAGCCTTTCTCTAGTTCGGTACTGGGGTGAGACCGGCTCGGCCCCCCACGAGTCCGGGTGCCGGGCTCGGGAAGCATTTCCTTCAACCCGTACTGCATATAATTCCTCGACTCAGGTCGGCTCCTGCGCTCCTGATCGGCTCGGTGCTTTCCAGGAGTTCGGTCCCATACAGCTCATGGGGCCGACCCGTTTGGTCCTGACCCGACCGATCCAGATGTCAACATAAAGGCCCCCGAGCTTGGAGGTGAGGTCCGCGACGTCTCCTCTGAGGTCGTCACTTTGGGCAGCCCGGATCGGCTCTTCCGCTGCACTTAGCGTGTGTAAGATTAATTTTATGGCCGAAATTAATGACGTCAGCTGAAGGGACGTGTACTTAATGCGACCTGACGGTTGCTTTCCTGTCGGTTACGAAAAGTCGTGCAGCTTTTATCGTGGCCTACGTGGCGGACACGTGTCGTTGCCCCATTAAATTCCCAGAAGATCGTGCGCGTCGGTTGGCGGCGGTTTCGCCTTTTCAAATTTTTGAATTTTGAATTCCTTACACGTGGCAGAATCTGATTGGGACCGAATCCTTATAAATAGAGCCCCTCGGTCATTGTTTCTTGTTCTTCTTCTTACCTACACAAATCCGATTTTCTTTGGCTTTTCGAGGAAGAGACTTTCAAGCAGCTTTTCGGTCGGACTTTTCTTTTCTTCACAGTAATTTCTTCAATTTTTGACCCAGCTCTTACTTTCTTTTTCGATCATGTCTTCGCCCTCCAAACCCGGGTCTGTTGCCGGCGCGT